AAATTAAATTATAATTTAAAAATATTATCATAAATATCGACAAGATAATATTATATGGTGTTAGTGTTACTACTTGTTAATTAAATCCACAAATAAAATTATTTTTATAATATTTATTAAGTTTGAATTCAGTAAAAGCATAAATAGCTAAATAGAAATATTAAACTAATTATTTTCCAATGATTATAATAAAACACAAAAACTATGACAATATTCCATAGGCTATGACCTATGTAGTAATTCCCTAGAAATTTTAGGAAATTGTTTTATGTAGTACATATTTTATAAACATAATTTGTATTTAAATTGTAATATTTCAAACTTTAAACAGATTTTGAGTTTAGACTCTTGTTATTTTTACTACTCTATTTTATTTTTATTTTTTAATTAATTTTTATTTGGCCCACTGGCTGGCCCTATTTATATTTCTCAAGCCCCACAAATCGGCAGACTTATTTAGACCGGGCTAAAAAGCCCTTTTCTTAAATGTGCTTCAAAAATCGTAGCCCAACTCTATCAAATCACGAATTAGACTAGGCTGACCCAACGGGCCTAGCCCATATTGACGGCCCTACTTCTCTATACAACTGTATATCCTTATTTATTCATGTTAACATAACAATTGGCCGGCAAAACACAGTCAATTGGATTTAAGTTGTAATATACCTTGAAAATCTTTTTTAAAAAAATAATCATTCAACCACTATCATTTTTAGAATTTAACTTATATACATGGACAGTGTACATAAATTTTCCATTATCATGACATTTTTACCTTTTGTGTCGTATTTTAGACATAATAAATTTCACATTTTATGAAGGATTATTATTAATAGATACACTTTGAATTCTCATATGATCACTCAATTTATAGTTATTATCTCAGAAAGTCACCTATTTTTTCTTGATTCCAATTTTTTTTCAACAAAGAAATAACTTTTGAGATATTAACTATTAATTGAGTGACAATATGAGAAATCAACTCGTTATAACTCTAGTTACCTTAAAACTCTAAGTCAGTTTGGTAAAATGGCATTTCATTTATTAGAGAATTTTCTAGCTTAAACCACAGCTACAAACAAGATATTCTGCATATATTATCCCCTGCTAAAGGAAATTAAAGTATAGAAATTAGAGTACCATTTTAAAAATTGTCTGGACTACAAATTATATATTTAGTACATGGAGCAGGTAAGTGTCAATAAAAAAATCAATAATATTATCAGATGCTTCGTAATATGAAATGATCATATTGTTACCTCAGTGCGTTAATTTCAATTTGTGAGAAGTCCATGTTTGTTGAACTATCTTGGAAA